GAGTTCTGAGGTAAAACCTGCCTGCTTGCACCCACCTCCCTCTGATTGCTCAGCTGTGGATCTCAATGTTCTGAGGTAAAAACACAGTTAAAAGAGACTGCAGACAGTTGAGGACAGCTACAGAAATCAGCGACCATGGCAATTGAGTTTATGAATGTTCATGGGGAGATAGTTAAGGACCTTTCTAGGAGCCTGCTCCAGAGTGAGCTCACCAAGCAGCCTGGTGATCCTAGCACCTGAGGGCAGAACCACCACTGTGGTCTACAGAGAGGTCCTTCGGTAGTGGGAGGGGAGTACGTATGTCTCACTTCATCCTTTACACTACAACCTTCTCCATTAGAATTCCTACAACAAATGTTATCTTTCAAACTTCACATCATCAGTATTAAAACTGGATTTACGGAACTTAAATACCATAGTGAAGCAAGGGTATCAGGCTAGTACTGTATATATACCAGAACATTTGGCCAGTACCAGGGACTAAACCTGAAGCAGAATGAAGCAGAATTCTTCTTCTTCTTCTTCGTCTTCTTCTTCATCTTCTATTACTAAGCTGTAGCCTCTTACATTAAGGAACTTTTGTACTAAGACCAATTGTCTGTTAAGCTCAGTACTCTCTATAGTGGTTGCTCAAACTCACACAGTTTATAGTTATAGTCTAATATTCTGAATGAATGAGGCATCAGTGTCTAATTTGGAAAGCTGTGGTTCAGAATGTTGTCATTGAAAAGAACACTTCCCATCTGGAGATATATTTGGGATTTAGTTGTTCACTAATAAGCATTTAATCATACCTATTTCTTATCAACAGTAGCTGCAGGTTGTTTCCCAAGCTAGAATGTGGTCAGCATTTTTGTGTTTTTATTGGTGGATAACTGTATAAAACATGCAGAGAAACTTTATGTCACAAAAGGTTTATTCATTGCTACATATGGTCCTTTAAATAGAATACCAGAGACTGAAGTGAAGTGCTGAAGTAAGGGAATTTGTACATCTGTGGAAATTCCCCTTTTCTTGTTGCAGTTTATGCCTTAGCACAGAATAACTGTACTCAGCACAGAATAACTGTAAATCGTTGTTTCATGGAACAATCTGGGTTCGAAGCTACAGGTGACAAGAAGCATTCTGTCACTTTGTCATCTGGACTATATACAAGTATTCATTTTATTTACTGTATTCAATTGCCACTTTTCCATGATGGAGTGTGCAACTCTGAAGTTCCAAACGGGCCTTGCTTCTTCACTTCACAGGGTTGTTATTATACTTTTGCAAATACTTGATATGAATCCTTCAGTTCTTACATGAAGAACTGGAACAAATGGGGTTGAATCATATGGTTTGGTTTTGGATGGTGGATCATAATAGAGTATGCTCTAGATGGTAGCTAGAAGTATGTAAATATGTTTCATGGTCATCAGTCTAGTACAAAATGGTGTTTATATGTTCTTCACATAGTTGCACTATGGTACCTAGAGAGTTAAAATGCTGATTGGACTGGGACAGGCATGGACTGATGATGACATGGACTACTTAATGTACCAATATGATTTCTTAGTGGAGCTGCGGTGGCTCAAGTGGATAAGATGCTGAACTGCAGGCTGGCAGGTCGGTAGTTCAGCAGTTCAAGACCCGAGTGCCGCATGACAGAGTGAGCTCCTGTCTCTGGTTCCAGCTCCTGCCAACCTAGCAATTAGAAAGCAAGAAATTGCAAGTAGATAAATAGGTACCGCTTCGGTGGGAAGGTAACAGCGTTCCGTGCACCTCGGCATGTAGTCATGCCAGCCACATGACCACAGAAACGTCTTTGGACAGCGCTGGCTCTTTGGCTTGGAAATGGAGATGAGCACCGCAACCCTAGAGTCGGATTTGATTGGCTTTAGAGCAAGGGAAACCTTTACCTTTACACCTTGTGTTTTCTCAAGGGCTTATTCTAGAGATCCAGTTTATGAGGCTGTCGTCAGTATAGCTCAGGTAGAGATAGAACCATGATGGTAAATATAACCACAGATATCCCATGTCATGAAAATGACAATGCCAAAAACAATGGAGTACCTAGGATTGTTCAGTGTGTATTTTGGGAAGTAGACAGAAGTCCTTCATGTCCATTCAGATTAGGATTGTGGTACTATTAGATTATATGAATCAAAAATTTTAAAAAATTAGGATAGAAGTTCAGTATTAGTTTTAGTAAAAAATATAAGCATTCCCTTTTCATTTTAATTCAATTTTCTGTTTCTACACAGCATACACTTATCAAAGCCCACAAACAACCACGTATACAAGTGGTGAGTTGATTTTGAATTGTTTACATACCATGGAGGTGGGGGGAAACTGTGATCCAAAAAGATTAAGTAGGTAGTAGGTAGCATCTGCAGGTAGGTAGGTGATACTATATCACTATGTCAAATACTAAAGTGGGTGGCCTGTGACAATAAAAAATGCAGCAAAACCAGAATACTCATAATCAAAGATGAGGTTTTCACCTACTAGGATGACTGTGTAGGTATGCAGACTGTAAGTAAAACAAACAAAATACACCAGCTGCAGTATACTCTAGCAGGCCCAAAATGAGGACAGTGGTTGAGTGTCAGCTAAGGGGGGGTGAGGGGGGGGAAACTAGATTGTGGCAGAATTCACATACACGTGGTGGACTGCCCTTGTAGGGGGACATGGGGTAATGGCTGAATCAACACAGCCACCTCCCATAAGGATTTCAGTGGAACTGTATCTTCTCTTTCTGCTGGGACTATTCTGCAGGGCAATAGGCATCATAGATGTTGGGTCAGCTGTAGCACAGATTAGAGTGGAGTGGTTAGTAGACATCCCAGCTTACAGCTGTGCTTTTTGTTTCCCTTGCCTTCGGGGGTGTGGGTGACACTAGCATGGCACTGTGTTAGCAGTATGGTAACTGGAGCATCCGCATATCTACCAGTACTCACTCCACCAAGTGCAGAAGCTTCATCACAGGGCACAGAATCCTCATTACGTGGAAACAGCCACCGCTAAAGAAAGTACATTATACTATCTAATAGTTGAAAACAACTGGAAATTGGCACAGAATGGTCTAAACATAAATCTCTGTTTGCAGTTGATGGAGACCCACACTTCATTATAGCTATGCCGCAGAAGGAAGATGCCCTTTGTTTTAATATTAATGAGGACCCAGGCACTGTGTTAAATCTAATCAGAGACCCAGTTACAGGTAAGCTTTCCTTCTGAAAAACAGATGTTGCCTGGAGAGAGAGATTTCTTCAACAAAGTGTTACTGGCAGAGGATTTCCCCTTGTTCTGTTTCTGCTGTTTCAGAGTGGCAGAATCTGGAAGGAATGCAGAGTAATTTTCACGAATAAAAACAGCACACTGGGAATGGCTGTACTTTTGAGCTTAAAATTTGGCAGCAAACACTGCTTCATTAGAGGAAGTGCATGCTGAGTAGTTGAGGCATTACCGAAACCTTACTGTATGGTAACAGAGTCCTGGACGGGCCTGCGCATTTACTGGAGAGCATTGTTTGGCACCAGTAGAGACACAAAGTGGGGCAGGACTACATTTGGATGCATGGTGCAGGCTACACAGCTAGTGAGTGGCTAGCAGCACCCTGAAAGAATGCAGGGCGGTGAAATGATCAGTTTGCAAGAAAGGCAGCAAAATGCAGAGCGTGCAGATTGCCGTCCAATGCAGCTGTGGCCTGCTGCACTGCTTTGGTAAGGACAGCTCTTCTTTCGTCCTGTCCTCTTTGGTTGCCATCCAGTGGTGGCCAGCCAGCGCTCATGCATCCTGGCTGTCCCACCAATCAAACAAGCTTCTCTGGTGGGCACACAAGAGGCAGCCCTTCTGGTGGCAGCCCCACGATTATGGAATAACTTCCGCAGGGAGGTGTGCCTGGCCCCCTCACTGTCAGTCTTCAGGAGGTAGTTGAAGATGGCTTTATGTATGACTACACTTGACTAATTTAGTTTTTATTTATTGGTAGTCCTGACTGAGATTTTAAATTGTGGTCTTCTATGCTTTTTTAAGCATTGTTTTATTTATGTCATTTTATTGTGTTTTTATAATCATTTTATTTGTATTGTAAGCTGCCTTGAGTTCCGCAAGGGAGAAAGGCAAGGAATAAACGTTTCAGATAAATAAAATACACCACCATTGTTTTTCATTTCCATGTAGCTGGCTGCACACTGAACCTATTTGGATATTTGTTCAGAAGGCTGGCAGAGATTTTTCACTGTGATTTTTCAACCTAGTGAGTGGCATTTGCGTTTTGAAGCAACAGATGGAAATAACATTTGCCATGCTTCTTTTTTCTGAAAGGGAGAATGAGTTATGATGACCCTGTTCAGACTTTGCTTCTTTCCACAGCAAGATTTGGCTAGCCACCTCTTTTTTTTGCCACCCTTTTTTCCATTCTCCTCTAGGGACCTAGAAGGGGATGCCTCAACAAAGAAATCCTATTTTTATTTGAGTGTATTATCCTGCCTGCACCAGCAAGAATGGGCAGTGGTTGAATCAGTTGGTCAAGGAGATCCTGCATTTGTTCCAGTACACAGGAGGCATTACCTTCCAAAAGCAAAATGGGGAAGCTAATATGTGACTGTGAGGAAGCTAATATGTATGACTGTAAGACCCATCCAGTACTTATCTAACCACATAAGGAGATGGGGTTGGAATTAATTTTCAAACAATCCCATAGATGTGTCTCTTCAACAGCTACATATACTGCTATATGATTGATATGAAAAGGATCTCTGATTCCTTAAACCAGGACCTAGTTGTCACATAGTGATATGATCAACCTGTGCCTGAACTCTCACTGTCTCACTAGGCTATTTAAATTCTCACTTACCTGGGAGAAGAGTATATTTCCCAATGCAGTGATATTGTCTTTATAAAAATGTACATTTATATAATCATTTCCTGTATTGATCTTGTCATAGAAAACTGCTGTTTTATGTACCATGGTTTATTTCATTTTATTTATTCTCTTTCCCTCCATATTCTTTACTGTAGGCGTTACAGTCAACGGGGAGCTTATTGGAGATGAGAGGACCAGTAATGATGCAGCACTACATAACACTTATTTTGGGAGACTTGGAATCGTAAATGTGCAACTGAACTTAAAGCTTGAAATAACGCCAAAGAAAATCACCCTCTACAATGGCTCAAAGCAAATGTCATTCACTTGGCTTGATGAAGGAACCTTACGGAATTCAGGGTAAAATTCACAGCATACGCCCAACATGTTTTAAAGTATTTTCACTTTGGCAAAGAAACACAAATAGCAAAAAATTTATTTATTTATTCTTTATTTATTATTCACATTTTTATCCCGCCCTCCCCGGAGGCTCAGGGCGGCTTACAGGGCATATTGCCAGATAAAACCATAAAACAATACAAAATATTAAATTACAGCCCTATTTAAAACAGATTTTGATGCCTAGCAAATTCTAAAATTTCTAAAAGCAAGATTACTGTCCCTGACCATCCCGTTCTCGCCCATAATGCAGCAACTAGATGTGCATGCCCCATCTTGATGTCCATATATGGGGGATAGATGGTAGCTAGTGCGATGGTGGTGCACTAGTGCACTAATGATGGACTGCTGGTGGGCTAGTGGTGGACTAGTGGTGGCGGCTCCTATTCAAAAGCCTGGCGGAAGAGCTCCGTCTTGCAGGCCCTGCGGAACTGTGCTAGGTCTCGCAGAGCCCTGATCTCCTCTGGGAGCTCATTCCACCAGATAGGAGCCGCCACCGAGAACGCCCTGTTCCTGGTCATGCTGAGTCTGATAGAACGGGGACCTGGAACAGCCAGTAGATGTTGAGTCCCTGACTGTAGTGCCCTTGGGGGAACATGTGGGGCAAGGCTGATTCAGAACATACACACCAACAAGATGTGATTGAAGTCCTGGAACACGCTCTATGGATTCTATTTAAGGAGGTCAAGGGAACATTTGAAGTGAATTCAGACATTCCATTTCTCTATGACACAGGCACCTAAACACATGAAGCTGCCTTATACTTAACCTGGCTATTGTACTACCAGGGTCAATATTGCCTGCTCTTGCCAGCAGCAGCCCTCTAGGTTCTCAGAAAGAAGTCTTTTATATCACTTGCTAACTGATCTTTTCAACTGAAAGTGCTGGTGATTGAACTTGGGACCTTCTGCATGCAAATTGGGTGCTCTGCTACTAAACCATAGCCCCACCCTCACCTAACTGTAAGAACTTCATAACTGAAGCTCAGTCCCATAAACAAATCTGATCTGGGGGCAGGAGGTAAGGGGACTGACTCCAACCACTAGCAGACTGCAAAACACTGGTGTGGGGAAAACAATAAAAAAGACGTGAAAAATACATAAAATAAAATACGGAGATTTTTAAGCATACCTAACCAAACATTTTTTTCAGTAAAGTGTGTCCCTAGTAGCAACTGTGATGTTGGCTCCTACTAATAAATGAACAGCTCACACCATAGTTTCTTTTCCATACTAGTTTCACTCTGAAAATTATCAAGAAAAGGAGTTTGGAAGTCTCACTAGGAGCTGGAGCAAGATTTATGGTGATTTTGCATCAAGCATGGAGGAAAAATGGGGTACACCAGGACTTTCTAGGATTCTACACAGTGGACAGTCACAGATTGTCTGAACATGCCCATGGCTTATTAGGTAAGAATTCATGAAAGTGCTTATATATAGAAGATGAACTGTTTCCTGGAAGGAGATTTAGAGTGAAATCTTAGAAGGAGGAAATGATAAAGCACTATTTATTGTAAAACCTCCAGTGTTAACAGCTGAGTAGTAAATAAGGTAGGTGGAATGGGAATGGGATGGTGAGGAGAAGATACAGGATACAGTATTTGTTTCCTACTAAGTTCCACTGAGTAAAGTGGCATTTATTTTTGAATAAACATTAATGGGATCAGGCTGCATATCTATTAATAAGGCTTCTACATTGTTCTGCCACACAATGCAATCTTTGGATTTTGAAAGGTGACAATTTCCCTTTTTTTTCTCTCTGAAAGTTTTATAAGGTTTGCACACACCTTGCAACTGAAATGGTATATCTAACTGGTATTACCTAGAAACAAGTTGAATCCCTCATATAGATCTAGCGTGCTACAGTGGTGACTTCTGTTGACCATTTTTATTTCTAGGGCAGTTCTTTCACCCAATTGATTTTGATATCCTGGAAGTCCACCCTGGATCTGATCCTCAGAAACCAGATGCCACCATGATTGTCAAAAATAATCAGCTGACAGTTACCAGGTAAATTGTCATTCAAATGTTGTATGTTTATTATAGCTGCAGGGCCTTTGAGCTGAAAAACATGTGTGTGTGTGTGTGTAAAGAGTTGTCAAGTCACAGGAAACTTATGGTAACCCTGTAGGGGTTTCAAGGCAAGAGACATTCAGAGGTGGTTATAGCCATTGCCTTCCTCTGCATAGCGACCCTGGAATTCCTTGGTGATCTCCCATCCAAATACTAACCAGTCAGTCAGTCAGGCAGGCAGGCAGGCATTTATTACGGCAACAAGCCATAGAACACACATGTCAAATATAACATTCATATAACTAAATTTTGGACAGTAAAATAAAACTCTATAAAAATACAGTTGAGCGTAATAAAGTAAAAGAAGAACATAAAACAGAGACTATTAGGCAACTATTGGCCCCGGTCACACGGGCCAGATAACGCGGGGGTGAGGCGTGGCTGTTTGCCCCGGGGCAAAATAAAGTGTGTTAGCTCGATCACACGGTCTCCCGAGTATTCACGCTGTGGCAGGAAGCTCGCGATCACACAGCGATGCTGGAGCTGACAAAGAAGCTGCGCGGCAAGCATTCCGTGTTTTTGCACATGCGCAGTTCCATGGAGCAGCACTGCTTCCAGTTTAGTGTTCGTGTGCATGCGCTTAGGGGAACTATCTGGTTTGCGACGGGACTCGGACGGGCGGCAGAAGCCACGGGATACTAGCGCTCCCGCAATCAGATGCCCGCCCCTGCTGCGCATTTTCCGGATACTTCTGCACTTTCTGAGGTATTTTTTTTACTGTGCATCTTCGGCGGGATGCCATGGGTTGGCTACAGGTGCGCTACGCTTCCCAGATGTTGCGGTGTGATCGCGCACCGAAAATCCGCCTACCATTCGTGCCTTTAGCGTGGCAAATCCTCCATGTGAACGGGGCCATTATTATATATTTGATCATGTCAAATACTAACCAGGGCTGACCCTCCTTAGCTTCTGAGATCTGATGAGATAATGCTAGCCTAGGCCATCTAGATCAGAGGGGGAAAAGTAACATACATATAGCTTACAGAATAAATGATTTGGAGCTGATATTTTTTCTGCATGAAGTTGGTGCTTCAGATTTCACTGCTGTGTGTTTTACCTTTCAGAGGGTGGCAGAAAGATTACACAGAAGACGTTCGGCATGGAACAAATGTCCCTTGTTGGTTTATTCACAACAATGGTGAAGGTCTAATTGATGGCACATACACAGACTATATTGTTTCCAGTCTGTTTTAGCCTATAGATATATTTCTGATTGCATGTGAGAATTATGCTACTATTGATTTTCATTCATTGTTTGTACTGTCATAGATCATTTTTTGTGATTCCTAGTGAACCACAATCCTGCTGTTCTAAATTACTTCAAATCACATTTCAAGTAGGTAGATCCTCTGCTCTACAGAGTTGTTCCGTCTGACGCTTTGTCAACAAACGCCTTCTGGACGTGATTCAGTGCACGAGCCAGGGTCAAGTAGAATTAAATCATTTTTATTATTACATTCCACATGCATTCATAAGAGTCTACTCACATCTTTGTAATCTAATTCATCTCACTGGCTCATGGTGAAAAGGATGCTTGTCCCCACTCCTTGTCGGTTATAGAGAACAAAGGCTACAGGAAGAAAGTTGTAAACTCGAACCCTCGCGCGCCTCTGTGTGCCAGATGCTGTGGGATGTCTAACTAAAGACTTCAAGTCCCAGGAACCATTGCTCTTAAAGATATATGGCAGTTCTGCTTAACTACAGTCTCAAACGCTGGCTGGGGGCAGCACAAGAGTCATGGGGTTGGATTCAATGACCTTTTCCTCTGGCACAATTTTCCTCACCTAGTCTCTGTTCCATTTTGGGTTTTGTTTGTGGGTCCCACAATCCCTGGCATAATCCTGTTTAAATAATCAAAACGACCCTTCTGCCCCTTTACAATGGCAAAGTAGCTGGTAGAATCCAACCTATGGCCTAGTATGTTCTCACAAGTCACAATCCTTCACATGCAATATAACTGGAGTACAGAGTATATTTTTCCAGAGTACAAGTTAATATGATTTTTTGAAATCAACTTTGTAAGATATTGAATCCTCCACATGAAGTTACCTTTAAATAAAATTGGAAAGATGGATTTTGTATGCCAAATGGTGCTTTTTAGATTATAAATCCTTCCCCAGAATTTACAGCCATATCAGTATCTATCTGACATTAACATTAAGAAATGTTAAAATCTTTGAATATTAATTTTTCCTCACACTAACCATTATGAATGGTACTAATTTTTGCATAATATACCATTTGGGGCTGTTGGTATCATGGGGAAATTGAGCAAAGATGGGTTATTTATTTGCTGAATTCCTAAAGTGATTGGACAGACTGCCATAAGGTCTTAGTGTGGTAGCCTTTACTACTAGAATACTAGTCCTTTCCCCAAAGAATTCCTTGACAACACAATGGGTTACCATGAGAGCTCCCATTCAAACCAGTCCAACTTATTATCCATAATTTACATCCCATCCTAGATAGTTATATTTGTTTTTCACAAATCTTGGGCAAAAGGCTTCTCCTTGCTTATGGACAGTTCCCTAACCTAAAACATCTTCTAACCAACAGCATCGGACCAACTAACAGAGACACAAACCTAGGATCCAGTTTCTGCAAGATGCCAAATCTGTTTATATATATATATCTTCGGAAACCAGTGGAAAACATTTTAATCTTCCAGGACATTCTGTTGCTGGCCTAAAAGCTGCTGTCCACCTGCAGAAAAACTTCCAAGGGAGAATCCAGCATCCATTAGAATTCAGTTCAGCAAATTAAGAAAATTAATACTATCTTTCCCCCCAGGGTTGAACAAAGACTTGGGATTTCCTCCACTCAAGATGAGGAGGCAAGAGGTCAAATAGGTAGAGCAAGAGAGTGAAATGGGCTATAATTATGTGTCTGTACTGGTTTGGCAAGATTCCGATTCCCAAGGCAGGGGTCCAGCAGCAGAACGAGAGGAAGGCAGGTATGGCATGTGTTTAGAGGTAGTCTTGTTTAATTATCTAAAATGTTTTATACAGCTTTTTCTGGAAGCTCAAAGTGGTTTAGAGAAACAAACAACAAAAAACAACTCAGCAATACATGAAGCACTTTAAAATCAACAACCATAATATCAAAGAAAGGCCTTCCCAAACAGCTGTGTTATACATTTTCATGAGTGATTTTAACAGTGGTAGTATAGGTCTCATTTCACTGGGCAGTCCATTCCATAATTATAGGGTTGCCACGGGGGAGGGGGGGAGGGAAATCCTTGAATTGCTGAAGTAGCCCCGAGCTTCTTCAGTGAAAGGATGGAGAGCACACCATGATGGTGTACAGGATTAGCCCACCCAAGCCAGTCCAGGGATGGGAGGGAATCTTGTACTTTTTCAGTACCTTAAACAACAAACCACGAGATGGTCTATACCCTCTCTGGTTTCAGAACAATGTGCCACCAGAACCTCTTTTCAATAGTCCCTGCATTTCCTAAGGGAAGAGATTCCAAACCCTTAGTTAGCATCTGGGATAGAACACCTTAGCAACTCGCTTCAGAGATGCACACTTTTACTCTCCAATGGTAGCATATATGGTGAGCGTTTAGACACTAGACTCAGACTTGGAATCCAAGTTACAACATCATAGACAAGTTAGAACTAAGAAGGATCTTTATTTAGTACAGAGCACAACAACAGACTAGGAGATTACAAAAATAACAAAGGCTAGGGCTGTTTGCCTTAACTAAACATTAATGATTCATATTTACCAAGTCAGGAGTATCCATCAGTCCAAGTACCAAGGGATTTTGAGGAGAAATCCCATCTTTGCACACCATGTGCTCCAAGTCACAAAGCAGGTCTTTGTTTCACCAGAGACAGCATTTCAGGTGCAATAAAACAGACAGCAAGAGGAGGAAGGGAGAGAGCTAAGAGAGAGTTCACTCCCAATGATCAATCAATTATAGTCCAATTCCAGTCACAAATTAGCCATGGCCATCAGCCAATTGCAAGTGGGCATGGGTGTGCCCAATTGTTGGTTGTCATAGCTGCAACATAGGATTGGCTAGAAGTTTGGAGACCGCGCCTGCAGTCACATGACCCAAACTCCAGCTTCTCCATTGCCTGCGTTGCATGTGGGCCAGAGCCAGGAGCCATCAGATCTGGCTCTTCCACTTAGAGGTGTGAAAGAATGTGTGGTTATATGGCATGGCTATTGAGGCTTGCAACAGGAAAACTAAGACACAGCATGTTATTAAAAGACATCACAGGAGAAGGCATGTGAATATAGAAGCAGAAAGCAAAATTTCTATACATATGGGAAGACTGAAATCACCTAAGCCCATATGCGGAGAAGTGATCTCTCAGGTATGTTTGTTTGTTTTTGCTGTCAAGTCACAGCTGACATGGCGACCCCATGGGGTTTTCAAGGCAAGAGCCATTCAGAGGTGGTTTGCCATTGTCTGCCTCTGCATTGTGACACTGGTATTTCTTGGTGGTCTTCTATCCAAATACTAACCAGGGCTGACCCTGCTTAGTTTCCAAGATCTGATGAGATCAAGCTAATCTGGGCTATCCAGGTCAGGGCCTCAGTCATATGTCGGTCCCAGAAAACAAAATCTCGGTCTGAGAGTAATTTGTGGCCTTGATGGGCCATTCAAAAATCATCTTAATTATGCTGCAGTCAGTCCTATTTGTGAGTAATGCATGGTGGTAGGCTGAATGCTAATGCTGCAGCCAGGATCCTTTTGTGGTTGATGGTACACTGATTAATGACAGAGAAACACTCATTAAGCATCTGAATGATCAGTAATAAATACCATAATGAAACAGGTAAGGAGAAAATAATTCCCACTGCTCTACACAAATGATTGCTTGTATACAGCCCCTTCAATTATCCTTTTATATTTAAAACCTGATAAAAATAAAGGAGGAGGAAGATGAGGGGAGAAAAGGAAGGGAATTGTTGTGAGCCAGCTGGGCTCAATAAGAAAGGCAAACTATAAATACCATGTATGCATGGGTGAGTGTGTCTGTGTGCATATGTATAAAAGTGTATATGTGTGTGTGTAGAGCAACTTAAGAACATAAGAAGAGTCCTGCTGGTTCAGACTGGTTCAGCATCTAGATCAGCATCCTCTTTCACACAGTGGCCAACTGATTACCTTGGAAGGCCAAGGCTTTCTCTTGATGTTGCCTCCTAGCAATGATTTATACACTTACTGCCATTCAATGCAGTGAATCGCTTTAGTCACTGTGTCTAATAGTCACTGGTGGACCCCACACATAAGTTTATAAACCTCTGTAATATCTACTTTTAGTCATCTTGTTTTGTACCATGAAGTCTCTATTCTTTAGAGGTTCCTCAGTGGAAAATGTTTGTATCCATCATCTTGGTTGCCCTCTTCTGTACTTCTGCAGTATCTTTTGAGATATGGTAACCCAAACTGTATGAAGTGTTTTCTCTATCACTAGCTTCTTTAGCAAAAGCGTAAACAATGGATTCATCTTCTATATGTGGCTATTCATGAAAATGTAAGAAACATGTGGCACAAGCAGATCAGGAAGCTGGGACAATTTTGTAAGAAGAATGGTGTGATCTATGGCTCTTTTAAAGCAAGTCCATTAGTGGGAGGCTATAGATCTTTTTTTTACATAATTCACTAATAGACAAGGGAACCCAACCCATAATTCACTAATAGACAAGGGAACCTAACCCAAGACAGGAAAGGTAATCAAAGAGGTTATGGCAAAAACAATAAACAAATATGGCTAAACAAGCAGTGCTTATATAAAATTACAACATATTTTAATTATGCATAGGAAATAATAAAATCACAATAAAAACCACATATCTATGGTTCTGTATAGGTACCTATATAATTGACTAATAACACAGACAAAACTGATCCAGACGGCATATTGCTGAGCATTTTTCTGACCCACAAGCAGCATGAGAGAATGGAAATGGGAGGAAGGGTGTGGGTGAAGCATACGGTTGCCTGGGTTGGGAAATACCTGGATATTTGGGGGGTGGAGTGTCGGGAGGATGGGCTTTAGGGAGGGGCTTTGGAGAGTGGTGGGACCTCATACCACCCACCCTCCAAAGCATCCAGATTTTTTCCAGAACTGGTCTTTATTGTCTAAAGACCAGCTGTAATTCTGGGAGATTTCCAGCCACCACCTGAAGGTTAGCAGCAACCCTAGTGAAGCAAGTGAAGTTTGCCACTAACT